TAGCCAGATTTTGTTCATTTTCATGGTTTCCTCCTTTCTGTTGAAATTGTCCACATGCTTGTGGATTTCAATGGCTTCTCTGTGTAGTCTGACATGGTGGTTGAGAGTGGTCCAGCATTTCTGTGTTCTCAAATAAAATGCTGTGTCCAGGTGGTTCATCAGGTGCTCTGCTATGGCTGACTTCTCTGGTTGAAGTAGTCTGCAGTGCCTTTCATGTTCCTTGATTCGTGTTTGGGCAATGCTGCGTTTGGTGGTCCCTATGTAGACTTGTCCACAGCTGCATGGTACACGGTAGACTCCTGCAGAAGTGAGAGGATCCCTCTTGTCCTTTGCTGAACGTAGCATTTGTTGGATTTTCTTGGTGGGTCTGTAGATAGTTTGTATGTTGTGTTTCCTCATCAGCTTCCCTATGCGGTCAGTGGTTCCCTTGATGTATGGCAAGAACACTTTTCCTCTGGGAGGATCTGTGAAATTATTATTTATTGCTGTACTGTAATATTGTATATATTGTAAAACTAGCCGTCCTCTGCCATGAGTTGCTGTGGCCCTGTCTATATATGTTTTGTGTGTGTATATGTGTGTGTATTTGTGTATATGTATATATGTGTGTGTTTGCATATATATATATATATATATATATATATATATATATAGTTTTGTGCATGCATTGTAATGTAATTTTGGGGGTTTTTTTTTCTTTTTAAGTCTCTTCTACTGTGTTTTTCAGTGTTTTTATGAGTGATGGTCACTTGTTGGCCTGATAGGTGTATTGTGTCCAAATTTGGTGTCAATTTGTCCAGTGGTTTTTGAGTTAAGTTAATCCCACAAATGGACATCACACACACACACACACACACACACATATATGTGTGTGTATGTGTGTGTGTGTGTGTGTGTGTGTGTATGTATGTATATATATATATATATATATATATATATATATATATATATAATAGTTATTATTATTATTATTATTCATGTTGTTGTTCATTCGTTCAGTTGCTTCCGATCTTTGTAACCTCATGGACCAGCCCATGCCAGAGCTCCCTGTTGGCCATCACCACCCCAAGCTCCTTCTAAGTCAAGCCAGTCACTTCAAGGATACCATCCATCCATCTTGCCCTTGGTCAGCCCCTCTTCCCTTTTCCTTCCATTTTCCCCAGCATCATTATCTTCTCTAAGCTTTCCTGTCTTCTCATTATGTGGCCAAAGTACTTCATCTTTGCCTCTAATATCCTTCCCTCCAGTGAACAGCCGGGCTTTATTTCCTAGAGTATGGACTGGTTGGATCTTCCCACAGTCCAAGGCACTCTCAAAATTTTCCTCCAGACCACAGTTCAAAAGCCTCTATCTTCCTTCACTCAGCCTTCCTTATGGTCCAGCTTACATATCCATAGTTTATGGATAATACGACAATTTCATAGCTGTTGTTTATTTATGTTTAGAGTGAGATTTCAGGCTTGATCTGCTCTAGGATCTTCTTAGTTCTCTTTTTGGTGTTCCAGAGTATTCATAGAAGCAAGAAGGCACAATTATATGTTCCTTTTCCAGGTGAGAATGGATAATGTTTTCTTTTCATCTTGATCTGGATACAGTCATGTTTATAGCTAAGATTTCAATCTTAATTTTCAAACAGGAGCATAAACACACACACACACACTTTGTATTTGAATGAGCAAGTGTGGACAACAGTGTTTGGTACTTAATGCTTTACATTTAATGATGTTGCCCCCCAGCTCTCAGTTTGGGGTTCATAAACCTGAGATGATCCTGATAAAGTCAGCCCATCTAGGAAAGTGAATCTTGCAAGGAGTCCAAGGGGCAATGAAGAGCCAGTTGCATGGAGTAAAAAGGACAATGAAGACATGAACCCTTCCAAACTAAAATCTATGTGCCCACATACTTTCAAGTAATGTGTACATATGTCACTAAGAGGACTATGACCTGCATTTTCAAACGTTGTGCAAAAATGTTGCTATGCCGATCCAAGATGAGTTGTATAACATGTGTTCATAGTACACTTGGCAACTGACAAAGTTTCCCTGAAAGGCCATCCAAGAACTCCACTCCTTGTAAAAGCAAGCAAATGAGTAAGCATTTGCAAGCAAAGGACAGACGAAGAACAAAAGCCTATGTAAAGATAGGAGTATCCAACCTGAGAATGGCAAGTAATCCTATACCTCTTTGCAGAGTTGGTTCAAGCCAACACCCCATTGTGCCATTGAAGAAAGTGGCTTAAATAGATTATGCAAAATGTGGCATGACCCTTCCATAATTGACAATCCTGAGCCACAAGAGACCATGGTTTGGTGGGGACTGCCAACCAAGAATAGGGAAGGTTAAGGAACTTCTGGAATGATTTCTGGGAAACTACTGTAGCTAGTAGATGGGAACAGAAGTTGCTTTTGGAATTCTATGATATCAAAATTCCTGGGAAGAAATGAGCTGAACAACACCTTAAAATAAACACATTCTTTTCACCTGCTTCTGTTTATCTTTCCTTGATCTTCTCTTCACCAGCCTGAACATGCCCAGGACCTTCAACCTTTTCTCATTGGTTTGTTCTCTGGGCCTCTTATCATTGTTGCCGCCTGTCCTTGAATCTATTACTATTTGTTTATGCCCTTCCTAAAATGAAGGCCCAAGCCTTTATAAGATATTGTTTGGTCATAGTGTTTATTTCAAAGACAAGCACACCCAGGAATGTTGGTACAATACAGAATCGCCATACATGTTGAAAAGAATAGCAGAGATATTACATCAGGAGAAGTACATATGTCACAATAGCTACATTTTTGGGATTAATATATATATTTAGTTTCAATTTACATATTCATAAAAACAGTGAAACAAATTTATATACATGTATATATGCAGTCATGCTGGCCACATGACCCTGGAGGTCTCTATGGACAATGTCAGCTCTTTGGCTTAGAAATGGAGATGAACGCCACCCCTCAGAGTTGGACACGACTAGACTTAATGTCAAGGGGAAACCTTTACCTTTGCCTTATATATGTATGAACAAATACAATACTTCCTAACAGCTATACAATATTTGTATTTGGTTATACTCTCCCCTCCTCCTACTCCTCCCAATTTAGTGACTTCCCGTCCCTTGAGTTGAAGACATTCATATATAATTCCATTCTTCCTTCCTATTACATTGTTGTTCTATTCTTCCTTCTGACCTGATGCTTATTATTTATCAGTTCTCTAAACTGAGTTTAACAGGTTAAATTATGAAGCTACATTTTTATCGCTATGCTTTTCTAACCCTAACCCCAACCCACCCTTAAGCAGCACAGCCCCTCAACATGACATTGCAACAGCAGGCATCTGAAGGGACTCTGGAAGTGACTCCTTATGCTTAGCAGCTTGGGGGTCCTGCTAGACTCAGCGCTAACGCTTGATGCTCAGGTGTTGACAGTGGCTGGGAGGGCCTTTGCACAATTAAAGCTTGTGCGCCAGCTGTGACCATACCTCCTGAAGTCTGACTTGGCCACGGTGGTCCACACCTATGTTACCTCTAGACTAGACTATTGCAGTGCACTCTATGTGGGGCTACCCTTGAAGATGGCCTGGAAACTTCAATTGGTCCAACGATCGGCAGCCAGACTCCTAACTGGAGTGAATTACAGTGAGTGGTCTACCCCCTGTTTAAGGAGCTCCATTGGCTGCTATTTATTTTCCAGTCCCAATTCAAGGTGCAGGTTCTTACCTACAAAGCCCTGAATGGTTTGGAACCCACCTACCTCCGCGACCGCATTTCCTCCTATTTATTTTTTTACTGTATTTATACCCCACTCTTCTCAACCCCGAAGTGGACTCAGAGCAGCTTACAGATTATGGCAACATTCAATGCTGCATTGAACCTACACGAGCCTTTCCTACGAACCTACACGAGCCCTTCGCTCTTCTGGAGAGGCCCTTCTCTCGCCCCCGCCCCCGTCGCAAGTGCAACTTGTGGGGAAGAGGGAGAGGGACTTCTCTCTGGTGGCCCCTCGGCTCTGGAATTTGCTCCCGGGATAAATTAGGCAAGCCCCCACCCTGGCAGTCTTCAGGAAGAGCTTAAAAACTTGGCTTTCCAGTGTGCCTTAAATGAATGAACAATAACCTTGACTAAACCTTGCATAAAAGGCCCTCGGATGCACATTATTTCACTCTCTAGTACAATTAAATCCCATTGCTTTGTCCCACCTGAACCTCCGCCCAGATACATTACATTGCTCCTCACACCCAGTGTTTTTAAACCTTTTAATCTTTGCAACTGGCCCTGCCCATTGTGTCCAATTATTGTGATTTTATACTGCATTGTGTGTTTACCTTGCATTGTCTTTTGTATTATTATTTTCATTACATATTATTGCTGTATTTTTATGTTGTATATTTGCTTGTTGTAATTGTTGGGCTTGGCCTCATGAAAGCTGCCCAAGTCCCCTTGGGGAGGTGGCGGCAGGGTATAAATAGAAGTTTTATTATTATTGTTATGTCTAGCTATAAAAAAAATGAACACATTGGCCTCTATCATCAGGAAACAGCTTTTGGTTTTGAGCAGCACCTTTGGATGAGTCCTTTCTTATTTAAATCCTAGTAGTTTCAATGGACTCTAAGTATGGCTAATTTTGAAAGTAATCCACTGCTCAACTTTATTTCATGGCATCTATCCAAGTGCATGCATCATCCTGATTGCACTTTGCTTTAGGGCATATGCCATAGTATTTGCTTACATTTCGCCTACTCTTTGAAAATGACCGGAGATAGGGTGCAATCTGAGCTGATGAAATGATGGATGACTCATTAATAAAACACAAGTCAAAAAGCAAATGTGAATGTGTGTTATAAACTGAATGCTACCTTAGCTTGCTTGCCCGCTCGCTCTATCTATCTGTCTGTCTGTCTGTCTGTCTGTCTGTCTATCTATCTATCTATCTATCTCTGCCTATCTATCTGCCTATCTGCCTATCTGCCTATCTATCTATCTATCTATCTATCTATCTATCTATCTATCTATCTATCATCTATCTATCTATCCATCTATCCATCTATCCATCTATCAAAACAGAGAATAGCATATACATTAGTGGTTCCCAACCTGTGGTCCATGGACCACCAGTGGTCCCCAAGAAGTAAAATATGGTCCTTAGCTCGCTCACTCTATCTATCTATCTATCTATCTATCTATCTATCTATCTATCTATCTGCCTATCTGCCTATCTATCTGCCTATCTATCTGCCTATCTATCTGCCTATCCATCCATCCATCCATCCATCCATCCATCCATCCATCCATCCATCCATCCATCAAAACAGAGAATAGCATATACATCAGTGGTTCCCAACCTGTGGTCCATGGACCACCAGTGGTCCCCAAGAGGTAAAATATGGTCCGCAGCCTCAACGTTACTACACCTTTGCCATAAGAGAGACTGGGCTCACAAAACCTTCTTGTAGTGCTGAAGCAACAGGGATGTCGGGAGGAGAAATTCTGACTTGCTCCTCCCTCCTCCTGAGGGGAGGTGTTCAATGTGACCCCTGGAAGTGGGAGCGTCTTGATATCTTCATTTTTACATCTGTTCCTTGGGTTATTTGGGATGCTCATTCAGAAAATTGCATTGGATAGACTACATCAGCTCTAGATTATTAAATATGGTTTTATTTGGGTGAGCAGATGGTGAATACTGGATGGCATATGTTCTGTATCAGAAACTAGAGCTGATGTGGTGTATCCAATGCAATTTTTCTGAATCAGCATATTCTAATCTAAAGTTGACCAAAAACAGAGGTAGAAGATATCACATATGTATTGTTTAGTTGTAACTTGTATAAGAAAGAGAGAAACCAATCCCTTGGGCCATACATTATTGAAACACACACATTGGAATCCGTATATTAAAACTACATTTTTATTGGCCGGCCATAATGCTAAAATAAAATACAGAATGGCCCTTTTCCTATTTAAAGCAGCACAGCTAAGAACTGAATATTTAGAGTGGATTGGGGCAAACTGTAGGGAGTGATGCAGATATTTGATCTGAATTGGAACCTTTTTAACAGCTTGTCTATTTAAATTTATGTTGTACTGTATGTGTATGTGTTTGTCAAATGTTTTTGATACGGCTAATGGGCTAATCAATAAAAGGTACTTACTTACAAAGTTGACCAAAAACAGATTTGTAACCCTTTTGGTACTAACATTGGAGAGTGGTCCCTGGTCAAAAAAAGGTTGGGGACCACTGATATACACAAACAAGACCAACAGACAGATCACGCCCTACAAATATTGATGGACTGTATTTCCCAGCATATATCATACATAGATATGCTGACTAGAGCTTTAGGGAGTTGTTGTGAAACAGAATCTTGCTATCTGCATGTTTCCCTCTATAATCTAGGCAGAGATAAAGTTCAAGAGATATTGAATTCTCTAGATGAAGGAGGACATAGGAAAAGCTGCAACAGGTTGGCAATGGAATGCTAAGAATGCTGATGACTCTCCTACTTTCCTACCAGGGCATCCAATGGGCATCCAAGTCTAAATAGGCCAGGTTTGGGGTGAAATGGCAAAAGCAATTTCAAAGGAGAGAAAATCATAGCCAGACTTGTAACAGAAAATTAGGGGACAACATACATGCATTCTAAACAACTGGGAAGCAAATATAAGCCATACTCAGCCAATTTTAACTATGAATTTTAAACTTACATTTTTTACTCTGTATTTTATGTATTTTAATATATGTATTTTGTAGGAATAGGTTTTAATATGTGTATTTTATATTATGATTATGTGTTTTTGTATGTTGTAACCTGCCTAGAGCCACTAGGAGAGGCAAGTAAAAATACAGTTGTTGTTGTTGTTGTTGCTTCTGCTGCTGTTGTTGCAAGACGACATACGTATTCTGGGTTTGGTCTACTTCTGTTTCTTCCCCTCAGCGTGGGATGATGGACAACTGGTAGAGGGGTGGGATTTTGGCAAAGCCGTTCTCCCTGGGGGTGATGTCAATGTCCTCAGGAGGGATAATGGACTTCAGGTGGAAGCTCTGCAGGATGGTGGTGAAGAAGAGGAAAAGCTCCATACGGGCCAAGGTTTCACCCAGGCATACCCGTTTCCCTGAAAGAGCAAACAAACCAACAGAATCAACAACAGGGGAGGACAGGCAAGAAGAGATTTTTATATGGACATCTCCTGGGAAGTGACTGTAGACAGTATTTATTGTACACTAGCCGTTCCCTGCCATGCGTTGCTGTGGCCAAGCCTGTATATATGTATTTGTGTGTGTATATACTGTACTTGTGTATATGTGTATGGTTTTGTGCATGTGCTATAATTTTTTTTTTGTTTTTTGGCTTTTTTGGCTCTCTATTTTTGGCTTTTTGGCTCTCTTCTGCTGTGTTTTCAGTGTTTTTATGAGTGATGGTGACTTGTTGGCCTGAGAGGTATATTGTGTCCAAATTTGGTGTCAATTCGTCCTGTGGTTTTTGAGCTATGTTAATCCCACAAACAAACATTACATTTTTATTTATATAGATATTACATTTGCTTGATGTCATGGAATCTTAGGGGGCACCCAGACACTGTCTCCCATTTTTAATCCGTCCATACACTGGTTCCCAAACCCCACCTTTTCATTCTTTTTTTTTGTAGAAGAATAAAATTTCATGGAAAGAAATCCCATTGGTATCTAATAAGTGAGATAGCAACCAGTCCAAGCTATGATTCTGCAGATGGCAAGATAATTATTCACACATAAAACAAAACAACTATGCAGGCACATATCTGAAACTTGTCTAGAAAGTGGACAGAAGACATTTCCTCCTTCTATCATAATATTGGTATTTGGCAGTCATCTAATGAAATAGAGATTTGGAGATTTCCCCCTTTTCATGTTTGTATGTTATTAATTTTGTTTCCTCTAGATTAGTGGATCCCAACCTGTGGTCTGTGGAACAACAGTGGTCCGCAAGAACAAAAATATGGTCTGTGGCCTCATCATTAGTACTGTAGCCTCAAAACCACACTGCAACGAGAGTGACTGGTATCCTGAAACCCTCTTTATAGCGCTGAGGCAATGAGGATCTTGGGAGGGGAGAGGCTGACTACCCACAAAACATTACTACTACTACATTAGCTCTAGAATACTAAATATGGTTTTCTGTGGGCAAGCAGATGGCGACTACTGGATGGGATATGTTCTGTTTCAGAAACTAGAGTAGACGTGGTCTATCCAATGCAGTTTTCTGAATCAGCACCCCAAATAACCAAACTGAATCTAAGTTGACCAAAAACTGATTTGTAAACCTTTTAGTACTAATGTTTAAGAGTGGTCCCTGGTCAAGTGGATCCTGGTCAGAAAAAGGTTGGGAACCACTGCTCTAGATACTGTGATGGCCATTACCTAAGATAACTTTCAGAGCAGATTGGACCAGTTGATAGAGGAGGAGATGGTCTATGAAGGGCTTCTAATGATGGTAGCAACATGGTAGCAACACTCCCAATGTTAGTGGGAGATGGATACCGAACATACAGGTTTTCAGGATTACCATCTGTGAGATTGTGTGCATTGATAGAGGTATTCTTCTGTGTTATATTCTCAGTTCAAGAAGGGTGGGTAGGAAACAGTTGTCAGTGGCCTTGTGTGACATAATTTCTCAGTTTGCACATACTATTCCTGTATACCCTGAGAATCACAACAGTGGTTCTGGAACATGGCTGTACAGCCCGAAAAACGTACAACAACCCAATCACAACAGTGATTGGTTATTCAGAACTTAGGTTCAGAGGTAGGATACCACCCACCCTTTGCTTAGGAAAGCTATACCTGAGGAGAATGGAATAAAGGCATCGTTCTTCTTGAAGCACCCATTCTCATCCAAGAAGTGCTCTGGGTTGAAAACATGGGGGGTTTTAAACTTAGTGGGGTCATGCAGAACTGTGCTCAGCAACGGGTGGACCTCTGTTCCCTGGGGCAGAAGAGAAAAAAAAGTATTGAGATTAGAACTGCAATGACTCAGGAAAAACGCTATTAGGTTTCAGAGCAGAAGGTCTCAGATGCTCTTCCAATTGTTGGCAGTCTGTGATCTCCATTTAAGCAGACGTGTAAACATACCAGAACTCTTACGATTATTGCTATTTGATGCAGCGTGCTATTGATTTTTCCTGATTTCAGAGGTTGAGGTGATGTTGAACTGTACGAATATGACCCAACAGGCTAAGTGACCTATGAAATGTCATTCTTATGATTCACGATTCTGCAATCTGTTCAATGATTTCTTATCACCAAGCTGGTCTAGAACTTATGGTTTCATAACTCGCCCTAGTTTTGATTATGATGTCACAAAAAGTTTTTAAAAATTGAAACATTATTTACTTGGATATTTACCTACGAATGCTCTGACTGAGGTTCATAATACTAGATCACTAGGTTGTATTATTATCCTTAAAGTAAATTCTATCTGAAACATAATAATACTTGATTGGTAAACCTACAATCTGTAAAATATGTTCCAAAACCACTCATTTTCTGAAAAACAAAACAAAAATAACCCTGAAGTTTGCTTCTCTCATCCTGCTTTTTCAGGATCTCTTTGTAGGTTGGCCAATCACCCCAGCTTAATTCTCTTCTTTGGGTTGCTTTGGGTGAAGATATCCAAAATGGGTTTTTTTAGATAAAGTCTCTTGAGACTTGACTTAAGGGCTGATGTATTATTCCACTTGCAGGTTTGTTTAAGTTGTGTCTGGCTATCTCTATCAGGTATAGTAAACAGTCAAATTACACTTAAGACTTTGAACCGATCACAGCCACACATCTCCAGGTCCACATAGAGAGGTCATCTGAGGGCCAAGTACTCAGTGCAGGAAGGGATGAAGGGGGGTCCAAGTGCTGGTCAAGCCCAAGGGTTGGAGGACAGCTCTGTTGTATACCACAATGTCCAGCAACGAGGAATAGCTCATAAAATTTATGGGCTGCATGAAGAAATATTTCATTGAGGGATTATGCCTGCAGGTCACTGACATCCCCCCCACCAAACACCATAATGTCCTATTAAAACTGCTCACTGTTCCAAAAGTGTGCATCCCACCCCCCACTTCATCCTTCTCGTTCTCACTGCCATCTCTACCTTAGGGATGAAGAATCCTCTGAATTCAGTGTCACGGGTGACCATGTGTATCAGGTTCATAGGGATGAGATCGGAGCATCTCTGCACTTCATGGATGACAGCATCCGTGTATGGCATCCGGTTGCGCTCTGCCATGTTTGGGATGCAATTCGGTCCAATCACTCGGTCAATTTCCTCATGCACTTTCACTGTTGAACATATTAATGGAATTATTTCCCAAAGCATGTTAATGTAATTTTCACAATATCTGTAATTTCACAGGATAGCAAAAAAACATAATTTAACATCTTGCTTTTATGTCCAGAGAAGGGCGACTGAAGTGATCAAGGGTCTGGAGAACAAGTCCTATGAGGAGCGGCTTAAAGAGCTGGGCATGTTTAGCCTGAAGAAGAGAAGGCTGAGAGGAGACATGATAGCCATGTATAAATATGTGAGGGGAAGTCATAGGGAGGAGGGAGCAAGCTTGTTTTCTGCTGCCCTGGAGACTAGGAGATTCCATCTGAACATGAGGAAGAACTTCCTGACTGTGAGAGCTGTTCAGCAGTAGAACTCTCTGCCCCAGAGTGTGGTGGAGGCTCCTTCTTGAATCGTAGCATAATCAGAGTTGGAAGAGACCTCATGGGCCATCCAGTCCAACTTCCTGCCAAGAAGCAGGAATATTGCATTCAAATCACCCCTGACAGATGGCCATCCAGCCTCTGTTTAAAAGCTTCCAAAGAAGGAGCCTCCACCACACTCCGGGGCAGAGAGAGTTCCACTGCTGAACGGCTCTCACAGTCAGGAAGTTCTTCCTAATGTTCAGATGGAATCTCCTCTCTTGTAGTTTGAAGCCATTGTTCCGCGTCCTAGTCTCCAAGGAAGCAGAAAACAAGCTTGCTCCCTCCTCCTCCCTGTGGCTTCCTCTCACATATTTATACATGGCTATCATATCTCCTCTCAGCCTTCTCTTCTTCAGGCTAAACATGCCCAGCTCCTTAAGCCGCTCCTCATAGGGCTTGTTCTCCAGACCATGATCATTTTAGTCGCCCTCCTCTGGACACATTTCCAGCTTGTCAATATCTCTCTTGAATTGTGGTGCCCAGAATTGGACACAATATTCCAGATGTGGTCTAACCAAAGCGGAATAGAGGGGTAGCATTACTTTCCTAGATCTAGACACTATGCTCCTATTGATGCAGGCCAAAATCCCATTGGCTTTTTGCCGCCACATCACATTGTTGGCTCATGTTTAACTTGTTGTCCACGAGGACTCCAAGATCTTTTTCACACGTACTGCTCTCGAGCCAGGCATTGTCCCCCATTCTGTATCTTTGCATTTCATTTTTTCTGCCAAAGTGGAGTATCTTGCATTTGTCACTGTTGAACTTCATTTTGTTAGTTTTGGCCCATCTCTCTAATCTGTCAACATCGTTTTGAATTCTGCTCCTGTCCTCTGGAATATAATCCCTCCCAATTTGGTGTCATTTGCAAACTTGATGATCATGCCTTCTAACCCTTCATCTAAGTCATTAAACCTAAGTCTTTGGAGGCTTTTAAACAGAGGCTGGATGGCCATCTGTCGGGGGTGGTTTGAATGCGATTTTCTTGCTTCTTGGCAGAATGGGGTTGGACTGAATGGCTCTTATGATTCTATCTCCTCCACCCTCCCCCATATTCCCCAGGATATAGACATTTACAAACTACTTCCTTTCCATCTTCTTACTAAAACGTTATTCTCAACTCAGTTGCCTCATTTTATTAATCATACCTTCAACATAGCCATTTATCTAAAATCTCATCTGATTTAAAGGTGATTTAAAGGTTTCCATATATATGCTCAAACAGAAAGATTGAATATTATCCAATCTCCCTTATGTCCTGTTTTTACACTAGTCTCAATCCGACTCTTTTAATTTACCTAGACCCATTTTTGACATTCTTTCCCTAAGAGTAATTTTTGTATGAAGAATTGGGTGGGATTGGTTTTTAATGTATTTGTATTGTTGTGACAATTCTATGCTTATGTTTTGCGTATTCTGTATGTTGGTGGTTTGCTCTTTGGAAACTGCCCTGAGTCCCCTAGGGGAGATAGAGCGGTATATAATATTAATATTAATAATAATAATAATAATAATAATAATAGTCATCATCATCATCATCATCATCATCATCATCCAGTCACTGATTTGTTTCCAAAAGATAAACCTATACAAAATAGAGCCATCATGGCTGCATCTAGAGCATTTGAAAATCTATGCAACTGTTAACCCTTTCCTACCTTGCACCTCAGGATATTTTAACAGAAGCAGAAACCCATATCTCAGGGTGGAGCTGACTGTTTCTGTCCCAGCAAGAAATAGGTTCAGGACAGTACACTCCAAGTTTCTCAAATAAAATTCAGTAGAGGGATTGTCCTTTTCCTGAAAGTAGAAAAGAACAAAACATCAGAACATTTCAGGAAGGCCGGTTGGGCTGTCAGGATGGGAATAGTTTTCCTCTCCCCAAGCAATGGGGAGAGGAGAAAACATTTGTCTGCCTCCCACGAGAGGGAGGGGTTCCCATGGAACCTTCCAGAGCTGCTGGGGGCGTGGCCTGCACGCAGGCCGGTCCCAAGCGGGCGCATTCGGCGCCTGAAAGCTGGGGAAGCGGACGTGCGTCGAAGAGCGGCGAGCAGTGGGACGAAGAGTGAAGTCTTTGGAAGAACTTAGAAGAAGAGGTTGAAAGGGCCAAGAAGAGAAGAGTGAGGAGAAGAGGATTGAGGAAGAGATTGAGGATAGTGTTACGAAAGGAGAGGCGGTGGAGATTTCGTGTATAAAGAGGTCGGTTGCGGGGTTTATGGATAAAAGGGGGTTTGCACTCCCCCTTCCCCTCTCATTTCAAGTTGGGAGCAGCGCTTAAAGGGGCTTGGAGCCTTCGCCCCCTACTCCTTCCCCCCCCCCAACCCCGTAGTTTTTATCCCTCGCTGTGTTTTATTGCCCTCTCCCCGGGATAATGGCTGGTAGGCGGGTTGCAATGTCGTCGGTGGTTTCTTGGAGGGGTGGTTATGTATGGATGACTGGGTGGCATCGCACTGCGCCCTCCTTTCGCCTCCCCCCCCTTTTTTGTTTTGGCGCGGCGCGGCCTCTCGGCGCTCACCGTTAGAGCGGGCTGTCGCGGGGGCCGGTACAGCGCCTGGGCTCTTCCGTGGCGCTCCGTGATTGTGACTTGCCCTGCCGCCGTTGGGCTGGATGGCCGGGTTGTTTTGGGGGGAGTGCGGTGGATAGCTGTTCCTCCCCTCCCCCCCTTCCCCCTCCTCCTCCTCCCCCCACCACACGATTGCTTCGGTTAGGGCCTGCAGTTCGGCCGGCGGTGTCGGCGGCCGCATGGCGGAGGCTAGGCCGGAGGCGCGTAGGCGGCGCTTGTTAGTGGTTGACCTGGCCGGGTGGCCTTGGTGGGCGGCACCTTGCCCTGCTTGATATCCCGCCGCTTTATAGCGCGGGCTTCTTTCAGGGGGCGGGTGAATACTCTCAGTTTGGCCGGGCGGCCGTTTGGCGCGGAAATGGGCGCCATTTTGTTGTTCATGCGGCCGCCATTTTGATGAATACGCGGCCGACATTTTTTGGTCAAATGGTTGCCGAAATACGAATCAGTAGTATTTTAATTAATTTATATATATATATATATAAAATATATATAAATAAAAAATATAAATAAAAAATAAAGAAAAGGGGGGGATGAATTTGAAGAGTATGGCTATAATGAATCAGGTTGTGTTTTGATCAATTACTTAGCTCCATGCGGGAGCCGCTTTCCTCAGGCGAGCTTTTGACCTTAGCCTTACTCTCCTGTTGACCTCGAGGTCGGTTTATATTTATTATTTATTTGGTACACTTATATACCGCTAACTTCTCAGCCTGGATCGGCGACTCAGTTGCGGTTTACAGCATTTAAAATCAATCTCCAGTTTAAAAACATATACAAAATACAATTACAAATTACAATAGCAAATTATTGGGCCACCAATAATAATCCCATATGTCTCAAGTTGAATCACAGTCCACAATTCGTTGTCCATATATCTGTCCAAGGTCACCTAGATTCGAATCGGTTTCCACAGATTAGCCGAAGGCTTGTTTGAATAACCATGTTTTAAGTTTCTTCCTAAATGCCATCAGCGAAGAGGCTGATCGTATCTCTATAGGGAGGGCGTTCCAAAGCCGGGGGGCCACCACAGAGAAGGCCCTATCTCTCGTTCCCGCCAGCCGCACTTCTGAAGCTGGAGGGATAGAGAGAAGGACTCTCCGGAAGATCTTAGGGTCCTGGTGGGCTGATAGGCTGAGATACGTTCGGATAGATAAGTTGGGCCAGAACCGTTTAGGGCTTTAAAGGCCAACGCCAGCACTTTGAATTGAGCCCGGTAGCATATCGGCAGCCAGTGGAGCTGGTTCAGCAAGGGAGTTGTATGCTCCCTGCGATCAGCTCCTGTTAAAATCATGGCTGCCGCCCGTTGGACTAACTGGAGCTTCCGGACTGTCTTCAAAGGCAACCCCACGTAGAGAGCGTTGCAGTAATCAAGGCGAGATGTAACCAGAGCGTGGACTACCGTGGCTAAGTCGGACTTCCCAAGGTACGGTCGCAGTTGGCGCACAAGTTTTAACTGTGCGAAGGCTCCCCTGGTCACCGCCGAAACCTGGGGTTCCAGGCTCAGCGGTGAGTCCAGGATCACCCCCAAGCTGCGAACCTGTGTCTTCAGGGGGAGTGCGACCCCATCCAACACAGGCTGTAACCCTATGCCCTGTTCGGCCTTACGACTGACCAGGAGTACCTCTGTCTTGTCTGGATTCAGTTTCAATTTGTTCGCCCTCATCCAGACCGTTACAGCGGCCAAGCACCGGTTCAGGACCTGACAGCCTCCTTAGTAGCAGGTGGAAAGGAGTGACAGAGTTGGACATCATCTGCGTACAGATGACATCTCACTCCGAAACTCCGGATGATATGTCCCAAAGTTGCTTTTAAATGAATTATAGCCCAAGTTAGGCCTAGGCTGGACACGAGAGCGAGCTGTCGCTGGTAGCTTCAACTAAGGGACTCCCATTGTCTTTTTCAATGCAAATGTGAGTAGATCAATAGGCCCAGCGTTGGGCTTGGGTTATATGGGTCGGGGGTGAGCTTCTGAGGTCAGCCCCAGCTTGGGTCTCTCGCAGCTGGACGCAATGCAAATGTGATTAGA